GCCTGACATTATAAATCTAGGCTCCATAAAGGCCAATAAAGCCAAGAGTGCCGCAGCATCAGGTCCTCGCTCCCGAAGATAACGTTATTAAAACAAAACATTAAACCAGTGTTAAAAAAAGACGAGAAACTCTACCTTCACTTAAAAACTTTGACCCAAACATCTCAGTAACACGATTATCGCGAATAATTACCGATCTCAATTACGGGTTCACTATAACTTTACATGGAAACAAGGGGGCAGATTCACGAAAGCACTTACGCAAACACTTACGAACCTGTACATCTTTTGTCAATCTTTGGTGGCTTTGTTTACAATTATTAAACAGTTAATGAGCTCCGAAACACCAGAAGGCTGTTTATAACAATAACAACAGTTGATTGGCATGTTTTCATGCTTGTAAACTGTTTAGTAAATGTAACCAAAGCCGTCAAAGATTTTGGAAAGATGTACACGTTCGTAAGTGCTTGCGTAAATGCTTCGTGAATCTGGCCCCAGGACATTTCGTCCCGAGCAGCTGAGTGTAAACAACAGCATCAGGTGAGCAAGAAGCGTTCCTGGGATACCTGAGTGAGTGTGTGTGAGGGTCGACCCCAGGAATGTCGTCTCCAGTTACCGGCAACAGTCAAAAATGTTGACTCTCCCTGGCTGGAAGCCAAGAGGGACAGGCCAACACCTGACCCCTCTGGCTGTAAGGTCACACTCTTTCCTCTTCCTTGAGGTGATTTCGGGGCTTAGCGACCCCCGCGGCCCGGTCGTCGACCAGGCCAACTTCGGTAAAATCATTATTCTTTAATGTTTTTCCAGATTATGAGGACCCGCAACGGGCGTGGCTCAGTGGATCAGTTCAGTCTGTTCACAACCGAGAGGTTCTGAGATTTTCTTGTACCTGATGCATCTGTTCACCTAACAGTAAATATATATTCATGAATTAGGCAGCTATTGTGGGGTTGCGTCCTCGGGAAGATCAGCCGTTTCTCTAGGCCTATAGAGCCTATAGGGAGACCTTAATAAGCCTAAAGGGCATCCTGTCTGAGTGATAAATGCTTCCTTGCAAAACGTGGTCTTGAATATCATATATATATATATATATATATATATATATATATATATATATATATATATATATATATATATATATATATATATATATGTATATATATATATATATATATATATATATATATATATATATATATATATATACCCGCGTCCGATGCTTGGCTTTGACTTGCAAATTTAAAATAAAAAAAAAACACTATGCAAATCGTCTTTTTATGTGGCTTAGTAACAATAGAGTGACTCCTTGTTTTTCGTTGTACATCAGCGTCACGTGGCTGTTACGACAGCGTCCGGACTCTTACGACAGCGTCCGGACTCTTACGACAGCGTCCGGACTCTTACGACAGCGTCCGGACTCTTGCGACAGCGTCCGGACTCTTACGACAGCGTCCGGACTCTTACGACAGCGTCCGGACTCTTGCGACAGCGTCCGGACTCTTACGACAGCGTCCGGACTCTTACGAGAGCGTCCGGACTCTTGCGACAGCGTCCGGACTCTTACGACAGCGTCCGGACTCTTGCTACATCGTCCAGACTCTTATGACAGCATCCAGACTCTTATGACAGCGTCTGGACTCTTACGATACCGTCCAGACTCTTGCGACAGCGTCCGGACTCTTGCGACAGCGTCCGGACTCTTGCGATAGCGTCCGAACTCTTGCGACAGCGTCTGGACTCTTACGATAGCGTCCGGACTCTTACGATAGCGTCCGGACTCTTACGACAGCGTCCGGACTCTTACGACAGCGTCCGGACTCTTGCGACAGCGTCCGGACTCTTGCGACAGCGTCCGGACTCTTGCGACAGCGTCCGGACTCTTGCTACATCGTCCAGACTCTTATGACAGCATCCAGACTCTTATGACAGCGTCTGGACTCTTACGATACCGTCCAGACTCTTGCGACAGCGTCCGGACTCTTGCGACAGCGTCCGGACTCTTGCGATAGCGTCCGAACTCTTGCGACAGCGTCTGGACTCTTACGATAGCGTCCGGACTCTTACGATAGCGTCCGGACTCTCACGACAGCGTCCAGACTCTTACAACAGCGTCCAGACTCTTACGACAGGGTCCGGACTCTCACGACAGCGTCCTGACTCTTACGACAGCGTCCAGACTCTCACGACAGCGTCCGGACTCTCACGACAGCGTCCGGACTCTCACGACAGCGTGCGGACTCATATAACAGCGTCCAGACTCATATAGCACCGTCCGGACTCATATAACAGCGTCCGGACTCACATAACAGCGTCCGGACTCATATAACAGCGTCCAGACTCATATAACAGCGTCCAGACTCATATAACAGCGTCCGGACTCATATAACAGCGTTCGGACTCTTACGACAGCGTCCGGACTCTTACGACAGCGTTCGGACTCTTACAACAGCGTCCGGACTCTTACGACAGCGTCCGGACTCATATAACAGCGTCCGGACTCATATAACAGCGTCCGGACTCTTACGACAGCGTCCGGACTCTCACGACAGCGTCCGGACTCTCACGACAGCGTCCGGACTCTTACGACAGCGTCCGGACACTTATGACAGCGTCCGGACACTTATGACAGCGTCCGGACACTTATGACAGCGTCCGGACACTTATGACAGCGTCCGGACACTTACGACAGCGTCCGGACACTTATGACAGCGTCCGGACTCTCACGACAGCGTCCGGACTCTTACGACAGCGTCCGGACTCTTACGACAGCGTCCGGACTCTTACGACAGCGTCCGGACACTTACGACAGCGTCCGGACTCTTATGACAGCGTCCGAACTCTCACGACAGCGTCCGGACTCTTACGACAGCGTCCGGACTCATATAACAGCGTCCGTACGCTTACGACAGCGTCCGGACTCTTACGACAGCGTCCGGACTCATATAACAGCGTTCGAACTCTTACGACAGCGCCCGGACCCTCACGACAGCGTCCGGACTCATATAACAGCGTCCGGACGCTTACGACAGCGTCCGGACTCTCACGACAGCGTCCGGACTCATATAACAGCGTCCGGACTCATATAACAGCGTCCGGACTCTCACGACAGCGTCCGGACTCATATAACAGCGTCCGGACTCTCACGACAGCGTCCGGACTCATATAACAGCGTCCGGACGCTTACGACAGCGTCCGGACTCATATAACAGCGTCCGGACGCTTACGACAGCGTCCGGACTCTGCCATATTGCTGGAGTTTTCTGTCAGATTACTGGTGGCATCTGTGCCGTGCCAGCTGGCCTGGGTGAGCCCCACAGCTGCCTGGACCCACAGGTGGCACCGCTGCCAGCTGGTGCCAGCTGTGGGCCAGGAGATGGTCAGCTTAACTTTGCTTAATTCCTGTTGTTGGGGGGACAGGAAGCCTGCACTTGTGCTTTTTAAGCTCATCCTTCCCTATGTCAGCTGTTGACCTCCCCCCCATCGGATGCCACCCTCAACAGTTGCCTAATTCCCGGGCATCTCTCTGTCTTACTGCTAGGTGAACAGAGGCATCAGGCCCAAAGGAAAAAGTACCCAACCGCTGCTGTCCCGCCTGGGGGGGAAATAATGAACCCGGAGCCCCTTCCAGTTGTGTGCCGAGGACGTAGACTATTGCGCTACAAGACCCACTATTCGACCTATTTTATCTGCGATTAGTTTCATGGCATTTGAAAAAAGGCTAAATTAGTTGTTCCTGGAACTCACTAGGAATGAGCTCCGTGACCAACTAACCTCCGGCAACACTCGTGGTGAGATTCAGGCACTTTTTCCACAAACTTCTGATGCGTACTCGGGTCCCTCTGGACCCTTCATGTGAGACAAAGTTTACCCTTAGTGTATCTCGCGTATAGACGTCGATATCAGCGGTAAAAGGCGATATTGTGCTCCCACAGTAATCAGGGGGCTGGTAGACACTCCCACAGTAACCAGGGGGCTGGTAGACACTCCCACAGTAACCAGGGGGCTGGTAGACACACTCCCATAGTAACCAGGATGCTGGTAGACACACTCCCATAGTAACCAGGATGCTGGTAGACACACTCCCACAGTAACCAGGGGGCTGGTAGACACACTCCCATAGTAACCAGGATGCTGGTAGACACACTCCCACAGTAACCAGGGGGCTGGTAGACACTCCCACAGTAACCAGGGGGCTGGTAGACACTCCCACAGTAACCAGGGGGCTGGTAGACACACTCCCACAGTAACCAGGGGGCTGGTAGACACACTCCCACAGTAACCAGGGGGCTGGTAGACACACTCCCACAGTAACCAGGATGTTGGTAGACACACTCCCACAGTAACCAGGGGGCTGGTAGACACACTCCCACAGTAACCAGGGGCTGGTAGACACTCTCACAGTAACCAGGGGCTGGTGGACACACTCCCACAGTAACCAGGGGGCTGGTAGACACACTCCCACAGTAACCAGGGGGCTGGTAGACACACTCCCACAGTAACCAGGGGGCTGGTAGACACACTCCCACAGTAACCAGGGGGCTGGTAGACACTCCCACAGTAACCAGGGGCTGGTAGACACTCCCACAGTAACCAGGGGCTGGTAGACACACTCTCACAGTAACCAGGGGCTGGTGGACACACTCCCACAGTAACCAGGGGGCTGGTAGACACACTCCCACAGTAACCAGGGGGCTGGTAGACACTCAAACAGTAACCAGGGGGCTGGGAGACACACTCCCACAGTAACCAGGGGGCTGGTAGACACACTCCCACAGTAACCAGGGGGCTGGTAGACACTCCCACAGTAACCAGGGGGCTGGTAGACACACTCCCACAGTAACCAGGGGGGCTGGTAGACACACTCCCACAGCAACCAGGGGGTCGGTAGGGTGGACCCCACACACCACCCTGGGAGGGGGTCAAGGCTCCCACGTGTCCAGGGTTTCAGGAAAATATTTGAGATTCCGTTTTTCCCTCCAGGGAGCAGTGCTGTTAGTTGTTCAGGCTGGTGGTTCAAGGTCTGTGTTACAGAGGGCGGTTGTTGTTGAGGGCGGGTGTTGTTGAGGACGGGTGTTGTAGAGGACGGGTGTTGTTGAGGGCGGGTGTTGTTGAGGACGGGTGTTGTAGAGGACGGGTGTTGTTGAGGGCGGGTGTTGTAGAGGACGGGTGTTGTTGAGGGCGGGTGTTGTAGAGGACGGGTATTGTTGAGGGCGGGTGTTGTTGAGGGCGGGTGTTGTTGAGGGCGGGTGTTGTAGAGGACGGGTGTTGTTGAGGGCGGGTGTTGTTGAGGGCGGGTGTTGTAGAGGACGGGTGTTGTTGAGGGCGGGTGTTGTAGAGGACGGGTGTTGTAGAGGACGGGTGTTGTAGAGGACGGGTGTTGTAGAGGGCGGGTGTTGTAGAGGGCGGGTGTTGTAGAGGACGGGTGTTGTAGAGGGCGGGTGTTGTAGAGGACGGGTGTTGTAGAGGGCGGGTGTTGTAGAGGGCGGGTGTTGTAGAGGACGGGTATTGTTGAGGACGGGTGTTGTAGAGGACGGGTGTTGTAGAGGACGGGTATTGTTGAGGACGGGTGTTGTAGAGGACGGGTGTTGTTGAGGGCGGGTGTTGTAGAGGACGGGTGTTGTAGAGGACGGGTGTTGTAGAGGACGGGTGTTGTTGAGGGCGGGTGTTGTAGAGGGCGGGTGTTGTAGAGGGCGGGTGTTGTAGAGGGCGGGTGTTGTAGAGGACGGGTGTTGTAGAGGACGGGTGTTGTTGAGGGCGGGTGTTGTAGAGGGCGGGTGTTGTAGAGGACGGGTGTTGTAGAGGACGGGTGTTGTAGAGGGCGGGTGTTGTAGAGGGCGGGTGTTGTACATGGTGTTTGGGTGTACTATTATCAGCACTAGTGTTTTAATGTCTTATTGTTGGGTGTTTGTTGATATTATCAGGTGAGAAATTCCAACTTTGCGCTGCTGTGGACTATAGGCACCTCTGAGGGAGGCGTCCTCAGCCCTGCGCCGCTGTGGACTATAGGCACCTCTGAGGGAGGCGTCCTCAGCCCTGCGCCGCTGTGGACTATAGGCACCTCTGAGGGAGGCGTCCTCAGCCCTGATGAAGGTGTTAATGTGCTAAACGTTGTGGCTGGCAAACTCAACAAACATTTCATTAGTTATGCTAATGATGTATTGATGCACGCCACGTGGTATACTAATTCTCAAAAGGTATACTAATTCTATTCAGCAAAAGTATAAGTCTCATGTTTGAACGTTGGCGCCCACTCAAAATGGGAGAGGATGATTGGAGGATGCAACTGTGTGATGGACCTCCGCGTGACTATGTCGTAATGTTGGTGTTTTGAAATTGAAATTGAAATAAGTTTATTGAGGTAAAATACACACAAAGGGATGAGGTAGCTCAATCTATTCTCACCCCGTTCAGTACATCGTGTTAATACATACGTAGACACACTTACTGTTGATGTTGTAAATGCTAAACACCCTCACTCCATACATACTCATGTCTTATCTATATATACAACACCTTCTTCCTAAATGCTAATCGTGATCTGAAACTTTTCCTTGTTAGGTATAATAAAATTCATGACTACCACACCAGAAATAAATATCACTTTGATATTCCCAGAGTCAGGCTAAAGCTGTTTAAACACTCCATGCAAATAAAAGCACTCCATGCCTATGTCCAACCACTTGGGCTGGACGGTAGAGCGACGGTCTAGCTTCATGCAGGTTGGTGTTCAATCCCCCGACCGTCCAAGTGGTTGGGGCACTATTCCTTCCCCCCGTCCCATCCCAAATCCTTATCCTGATCCCTTCCAAGTACTATATAGTCGTAATAGCGTGGCGCTTTTCCCTGATAATTCCCACCCTCCCTCCCTCCCTCCCTCCCTGGTGAATTAAAAAGTCCCAACTTTATACCCTGTTCAAAAGTCAAATAAAAAAGTACCTAATTTCCTCCTCATAGTTTCCTACCGTGTGCTTCAAACTCACACTGTGTCTTGTACTACCCACTTCCCCAATATTAGTACTTAAAGACGTATATCCTTTACCAGTGTAATCACCGCTCTCAACTTATGTTCTAGTTATTTGTTGATATAAAAGTCTTGCTACCATGTACCCTTTCATCTTACCTGATATGTTAGACTAAGGACCTGCCCGATTACCTATGCGTGTTAGTGGCTTTACATGACTGTAAAAACATCAATCTTATGTAATCTCCCCAACCCATTGTACCTTCTTGAAAATTAATTATTATTATTATTATTATTATTATTATTATTATTATTATTATTATTATTATTATTATTATTATTATTATTATTATTATTATTATTATTATTATTTAAGTACAAACAAAACCAAAATATTTAAATAAATAGTAAAGTAACTCAGGATATTGTCAAATATTGTATAAAATCTCCATTGTTAAATAAAACTGAAAAAGAAATTCCTAATATGAAAACTGGTGTTTAGCAAATCAGTAGGAAGAGTTTGTAACTTAAAAACAAAATATAACTTGGCATATACCACCTTGAGGTCGTCAGTGTAGAGAGACAGAGAGGCTTGAGGGCCTCAAGGTCGTGACAAGCTGTCACCTCGTCTGTGGCATAAATGCCAGAATGGCAAAAATGATGCACATTGCATACATGTATTAGATCCTTAACTGATTATGTTCCAGCCCTGATTCCTCTAGTGCTTAAAAGAATGCATGGAGAGCTGGAACAGTTGCAAAACCAAGCCAAGATGATCATCTTCACATGCCCCCCATATTACTTAGTTACTACACCAGGAAGGAATTCAATATCCTAAGTGTAAGTGATTGAGTCAGTGAAATCAGCGACTTAATTGGTATCAAGATCCTCCAAACCTTCTTTATGGGTCTCAAGACCTTCTCACAAGATCTCGAAATGGAATACTGAAACTGCTATTTAACTCATAACAGCCACACTCACAACCTTTACCTAGAGAGAGAGAGAAGACCTACACCTCCCTGCACCGTAGGAAATCATTCCCATTTCAATTACTATCCATCTCTTCACGAATTACTATCCTCCATTACTTTCCAAATTACTATCATTCCCTTCAGGCAGAATTACATGCCATAGACCCCGCACTCAGACGTTGCTTGTACTCGGAGCTGACATGTGACTTATGTGTGTAGTGGCATTCAGGTCTTATTGAGGCAAATGTAATGTGCTTGTGTCTGAAGCAAGGATGAGGGTGCTTGTGTCTGAAGCAAGGATGAGAGTGCTTGTGTCTGAAGCAAGGATGAGAGTGCTTGTGTCTGAGGCAAGGATGAGAGTGCTTGTGTCTGAAGCAAGGATGAGAGTGCCTGTGTCTGAAGCAAGGGTGAGGGTGCTTGTGTCTGAAGCAAGGGTGAGGGTGCTTGTGTCTGAAGCAAGGGTAAGGGTGCTTGTGTCTGAAGCAAGGGTGAGGGTGCTTGTGTCTGAAGCAAGGATGAGAGTGCTTGTGTCTGAAGCAAGGGTGAGGGTGCTTGTGTCTGAAGCAAGGATGAGAGTGCTTGTGTCTGAAGCAAGGATGAGAGTGCTTGTGTCTGAAGCAAGGATGAGAGTGCCTGTGTCTGAAGCAAGAATGAGAGTGCTTGTGTCTGAAGCAAGGATGAGAGTGCCTGTGTCTGAAGCAAGGATGAGAGTGCCTGTGTCTGAAGCAAGGATGAGAGTGCCTGTGTCTGAAGCAAGGATGAGGGTGCTTGTGTCTGAAGCAAGGATGAGAGTGCTTGTGTCTGAAGCAAGGATGAAAGTGCTTGTGTCTGAGGCAAGGATGAGAGTGCTTGTGTCTGAAGCAAGGATGAGGGTCAAATAATTACTGATGACACAAGAGTGTTTCCTGCGGGTACAGTCAAGATGAACAGCCTGATGAACAGCCTGATGAACAGCAAGAACAGCAAGAACACTCACAAGTCGAGCCTGGCCTCGGGCCGGGCTTGGAGAGTAGAAGAACTCCCAGAACCCCATCAAGCAGATATCAAGCCTAAGGACGGTATAATACCAAGAACTTGAACAAAATGTAATAGATGGGAAACAAAGTGAAATTTAGACTAGCTATTCCATCTATCATCATTCTACTATGCAGGAAGAGTCACATATATATATGTGGGTCATCCAATAAAGTCAGCAGACATTTAGACGTTACTACTGCTAGGTTCAGGCTCAGCTACAAGTACTCCTGGTGAGTTTGCTCCACCTGCTGATCTGACCGAATGTAAACTTTGTCAGCAAAACTATTCACTATTTCAGGCTTCAGGAGGAGAGGTTTTGAGAGTGTCAGAATTGGGCTCTACCCCGGACCCAAACAGAAAACGGGACAGTGCGTCACTTTCGTGAGCCGATTTCATTTCAAATTACGTCAGTTTTTGGCCATAGCGCGAATACGAGCGAAAAGCGACGTTATTTTGAGAGGAGGGATTGGCTCTGGCGGCTTGGATGCGGGAAGGGAGGGAACTATCAGGGGGGGAAAGCGCCAAGTCATTACGACTATATAGCACTGGGAAGGGGGCAGGATAAGGATTTGGGATGTGACGGGGGAGGGAAAGGAATGGTTGACCGCCGACCTGCATGAAGGTAGACCGTCGCTTTACCGTCCGGCCCAAGTGGGTGGGGAATAACAGTCAGCTGCCCACATATCAATAACCGGTTTCTAACATTCGGTCATGGTGGGGGGGGGGGGTTACCTAATCCAGTTTTACAGTTTTAATCAAGTGTATTTGGCGACTAAATCTGTCAGAGTTGACATCTTTTGATTTTATTTGGTTAACCTATAATATAATTCAAGAAAACTGCGTTCTACATATTTTTATGACTCCAGGTGTTCGGTTTACCCTTTATTTCGAACAGTTATACATTTATTTGTTATGTTAAGATCATTATGAACCTGAACACGGCTCCAGTCGCAATGTGCCGTATGTGTCTGGGATGCTCCCGGACGCAGGTTCGAATCCTCGTCACGGTCCTTGTGGATTTGCTCATTTGATGCATCACGTTAGTGTGATCTCTGTGTGTAATGTGCCATATTTTCCCCATTGGTTTTGTGAGTTAAAAAAAAACTAACAAGTTTTTTTATTAAAAAGAAAAAAAAACTCAATTTTAGACATGTACAATTTAGAGGTTAACCATGAGACTTAGATCTCTATTGTATTCAGTTCAAGCAATGACAACAATGTTCATTTAATACCTGGTGACTTTCTATTATTTTTTAGATTTAGAACCTGTTTTTGGCCTAAAACTGCGTAGCTGTTGATACGTGTGTGTGTGTGTGATGGCTTCGTATTATTATTATTATTAACATCTTTATTGACAAAATTAATTACAATTTTGCCTTCGTGAGCTGTATAAGCCGTCCATCAGTGCTCTGAAGAGCGGCGGGGCCGACAGTACCTCACCCTGCGGGACTCCATTTACCAGTGTGGGGAAGTGTCCTTGGAACCGCAGCCTCATCGCCCCACTGGCGCTGTCGGAAATACCAGAGTGTCGTGACACTGGGAGTTGACTCCTGTCTCCGGTAGAAGGGGGTGGGGGGAGGGGGAGGGGGGGGTCCGTGTGAATAACTGGGCTTTCACCATTCAGATATAAAGCCGTCTGCTGTTCTCCTTGCACTCGCATGTACATACCTCAAAGTGCACACATTAATTGTAAAGTTTGTTTTTGGTTGAGACTGTCTTGTAGCTCATCCGGGGAATGGAAGCCTCGTTTCGCATTCCACAGTTTCACGCACCCTTCTGTCTCCACACACACTCATTCCCTTCTGTCCACACACACTCGTTCCCTTCTGTCTCCACACACACTCATTCCCTTCTGTCTCCACACACACTCATTCCCTTCTGTCTCCACACACACTCATTC